CAAAGTTGTTGCCTTCAAAGCAAAAAACATGGCATGGCAATCATGGTCGATAACATCCTAACGGAGATTGGAATCACAGCAGAAGCTCCATGAAAAAAAAGCAGCACACTGGCCATTAGAGAAACGTACTAGAAACTGAAATCTCTATAGCCACAAACTTTCCATGTCATCCTTGTAGCATCCAAGTAGCGTAAGGTGCCAACAATACATCATAAGAAATAAAAAGAAACCGCAAATGAAGTTTTCTGAAAGAAGTTCGTTCTGCTGACAAGGTTGTCTTTCAGAGCCTGTTGGGTTCGGTCACTCTTTCGCTATTACCCTCACGCTATCACGATATCAGTTGACTTTTTATGACTCTTGTCAGCGCGTAATCCAGCACGATGTTCGTATAGTGATTAGCATCCATTCTCTACCACCTCGTGAACAAATCTACAAGCAGTGCAGCATATATCTTGTTAATACGCGATCGGCAAAATTAAATCATACGAACTCCGATAAAATTCTACCTCTACAAAATGTGCCCCCAAACTATAGTGCCGTATTGCAAAGAACGGGCACACATCAGCGTCGGTCGGCCAATGAGGCAATGCGAACTGGGACTGTGGCATGGAACCTCAGGCCTTCTAACGCAATGCACACAGAATAACGACATTCTGCCTGCAAATTCGGACGAAAGAATTGAGGACTACCGCCAGGATTAATCTTGAAGAAAGCACGGTATAAACAAAGTTGAGACAACCAACCTGGTTAAGTTAACCTTCGAAGAAAGTCTTCCGACTCCTGGACGAGATAGCGTAGAAGCCTGACGATACTTGACGAACTTGATGCTGTTGCAGTGGACAAAATAATATCATTGGCGTTATTTCGACGGAGAAAGTCCAGAAATTGGACGCATCAAACTTGACCAAACTAATATGCTTACGTTATAATCATTCTGAACAAAGGACGACACTTGTCCTAGTCATTTGTCAAGTTAAGTTCGCAACTCGTAGACTTCCATTCAGTTAATGATATATTCAACGAAGGGAGTCCTTTTCACAGACGTTCCAAACCCAATTACCCTGCGATTATGGTACTGGCTCAAGAGAGGCCTTTACTCTGTACTCCCCTCCGCTGAAGTGCAACCTCATTTAAGCGGCCGAGCCTTCGTAAGCAAAGATTAGCACAACATCACTGATGAGGACCACCAGACTTACTCATCAACAACCAGGCACCTTGTTTTCTAGTCCCTGCCTAAACCGTCGACACATGAGTCTCTTCAACCCGGGGCCATTTTAGCCTCGATATTTACGTAAAATACGGTTTAGGAAATTTTGGCAGCGATATCGATGGCGGCCATGTTTCCGTCGTCAAAAAACGGTTGACGAATGATGAATCTTTCCCCGAATCCATCAAACTGGCAACTAGTTGCAACAAACTGCGGGTCGTTCGTTAAAGAAAGTTTTCGATGAACAGCACGGTCGTTGTGTTCCATGCATGCGATGAATCATCGACCAACCACGACTCGAACCACTTCACCGAGTACTGCTTCATCAAACTCTTCGAGTTCGGCCAAACAAAACTTTTTTCCCACGAACACTTAGCGAAAAGGGCTCGAATTTCTTTCCCGGTCGCTTTCCACGCTTCCAGCCATTGCGGGTCGTTACTTAATCGCACAAAAAAACAGTCACACGCGGCTCTCTTCGTCATTTCCCATTGTTCACACAAATACAGCCCAAAAGCAAAGTACCCGGACGAACGATATCTATATAAGGTTCGGTACTCTGCATCCTCCCGGACCTTCCTGAGGAACACTAGCTACTATTTCCTTATAAACGAGTTGCAGCTGAATAGTCACAGCACGTCCAAGTGGATTTTCAAAATGCGTGGTGCAAAGATTCAATCACAATCAGAACATGTAATCACGATCACACGCGTTCCCTTATGCAACAATGATTTGCACCAAGAATGTGAAGTAAGCTATATTCTTTAATCCCCTCTGAAAGAAGCATATTGGTAATGATTCGTTCTTGTCGTACTTCCATCTTACCGGTGGATGATGAAATGGTTGTGGATGACTGAAAAACTTCACTATACCTTACAGTTCCACTAAGAACTCGGTCCTATTATAAATGCAAACAATGTTGACCTATAAATAACATTCAGGTTTGGATTCTGTGCTTATTGTTATATAGATACTGCCCATGAACTGGCAAAAAACTGCTGTACCATCCGCAGCACTTGGTACCCTGAATCATGAATCGTTCAAACACTTATCAGTGTTTACCTGTGTTGGAATGTATTACTCGGAGTGACAGAATGCGACTAATAGGCTTTCAGACGTTATATACAGCTAGTCTTGAGGCGCAGTGACGCTACGCTCAACGACCTCATATTAGACGACACAGAACTCGCAGTTCTGAAGAGCGTTATCAAAAGAAACTCGAACAGGAATGCTTCATCACGCTTTATTTTCTTGTCAGTACGTAAAATTGTTTGCTTAAAGTGAGTGACGGGAAGCATCTCATCAGTACGTTAAATCTAACATCCATAATCTACCTGAAAATCCATCCATTCTTCGTAGGTCAACGTTTGGTTACTCGTTTCTCCGCTGCTCGCACAGCAACATGGTTGGACTCCTGGCTCAAGGAATTAAAAGGAGTGAATCAGCAGTTAATAAATTAATTTACCCCCCCCCCCAACACTGGGAGCTGAAACCAATACCTTAAAAAATAAAAACAAATTATTAACTCACTGCAC